ATCTAACCACCTGGTGACAGGACTTTAGAGCTTCAAAGCTGCCAATAATCAAACTAGTTCACATGAGCAGCCTATTTGGGCATATCAAAACAAAACAAAAAGCTAGGACACAGTAAGCAAGCATAAAATAAATAAATATAATAACTTACTGATGGCTCAGAGATAACAGTCGATATCAAATCACATAAACAGGCAGTCCATGATGGCTTCAGCAAGCTCCCAAAATAAAGAATCTAGAAATTTTCCAGAGGAAGAAAATTTATTGGAATTACTGGAGGCAGAATACAAAAGATTAACATACAGAACTCTTCCAGAGATTAGGAAGGAAATTAAGCAAAACACAGAACATGCAATAGAGCAAATTAAAAGGATTAGAGAAGAGCATGATGACAAATTTAGCAGGTTGCAAGAATCCATAGAGAGACAGCAAACAGAAATCCAGAAGATTAACAATAAAATTTCAGAATGAGACAACTCAATAGAAAGTCATAGGAGCAGAATTGAGGCAATGGAAGTCAGAATTAGTGAGATTGAAGATAAAGCACTTGACACCAACTTATTTGAGGAAAACTCAGATAAAAGGATTTAAAAAAATGAAGAAGCCCTCTAAGAATTACGTGGGATCCTATCAAGAGGAATAACCTACGAGTGACTGGGGTACCAGAACAGGGCGGGATAACAGAAAATACAGAGAATTGTTGAAGATTTGTTGGCAGAAACCTTCCCTGATATCGTGAAAGATGACAAGATATCTATCCAAGATGCTCATCGAACCCCACATAAGGTAGATCCCAAAAGAAAGTCACCAAGACATTATAATCAAACTTGCCAAAACCAAAGATAAAGAGAGAATTTTAAGAGCCACTAGGGATAAATGAAAGTCATCTGCAAAGAAGAGTCAATAAGAACAAGCTCGGACTACTCAGCAGAAACCACGCAGGCAAGAAGGCAATGGGATGACATATATAAAGACTTGAAGGAAAAAAATTGCAAGCCAAGAATTATATATCCAGCAAAACTGTCTCTCAAATATGATGGTGAAATTAGGGCATTTCCAGATAAACAGAAGTTTAGGGAATTTGCAGAAACCAAACCAAAATTACAAGAAATAGTAAAGGGAGTCCTCTTGTTAGAAAATCAGTAACATCGGATAACAACCCAAGACTAGAACACAGGACAGAGCAACCAGATATCCACCAGATAGGGAAGTCACAAAAGTAAATTAAAGCTAAAACACTGAAAATAGGGCAGCAGATGTCAATATGTAAAAGATGACAACATTAAAACAAAAAAGAGGGGCTTAAAAAATGTAGACATAGATTTTTAATATGGAGAGGAAGTCAAGGTGATATAAAGAAATAGAAGACAGGTATAAACTTAGAAAAATAGGGGTAAATATTAACCACAAAGGAAACTAACAATCCTACAAGTCAAAATAAAAAACTAGAAAAATATAAAGACTCAGCAAACACAAAATCAACAACAATGAAAAAGATGAAAAGAAAATCCATAAACGACTCAGCACAGAAAATTAAGTGGAACAAAGAAACTGTCAACAACACACAAAAAAAGACATCAAAATGACAGCACTAAACTCATATCTATCAATAATTACACAGAATGTAAATGGACTGAATGCACCAATAAAGAGACAGAGAGTGGCAGATTGAATAAAAAAACACGATCCATCTATATGCTGCCTACAAGAGACACACCTTAGACTGAAAGACACAAACTAAAACTCAAAGGATGAAAAAAATATATCAAGCAAACAACACTCAAAAAAGAGCAGGAGTGGCAATATTAATCTCTGACAAAAAAGACTTTAAAGGAAAATCCACCACAAAGAATAAGGAAGGACACTATATAATGATTAAAGGATCAATACACCAGGAGGACATAACTATGATAAATATTTACACACCCAACGACAGGGCTCCAAAATACATAAAACAAACTAAAAGCATTGAAAAGAGAGAGAGACAACTCCAAAATAGTAGTAGGAGACTTCAATCCACCAGTTTCAGCGAAGGACAGAACATCCAGAAAGAAGCTCAACAAAGACAAGGAAGAGCTAAATGCTACAATTAACCAACTTGATCTCACAGACATATACTGAACACTCCACCCAACAGCAGCCAAGTATACTTTCTTTTCCAACGCACATGGAACATCCCCCAGAATGGACCACGTATTAGGCCATAAAGCAAGTCTTAACAAAATCCAAAGCATTAAAATATTACAAAGCATATTTTCTGACCATAAAGCCATAAAAGTAGAAATCAATAACAGAAAAAGCAAGGAAAAAAAAAACAAACACATGGAAACTGAACACCTTGCTCAAAAACTACTGGGTTATAGAAGAAATTAAGGATGAAATGAAGAAATTAAGGATGAAATAAAGAAATTCATAGACTCAAATGAGACTGAAAACACCTCCTACCGAAACCTTTGGGACACAGCAAAAGCAGTGCTCAGAGGTCAGTTTATAGAAATAAATGCACACATCCAAAAAGAAGAAAGGGCCATAATCAAAATATTAACCCTACAACTGGAACAAGTAGAAAGAGAGCAGCAAAAGAAGCCCTCAGGTGCCAGAAGGAAGGAAATAATAAGAATTAGAGCAGAATTAAATGAAATAGAGACTAGAAAAACAATTGAAAGAGTTAATAAGACCAAAAGCCGGCTCTTTGAAAAGATCAACAAAATTGATAAACCACTGGCCAAACTGACAAAAGAAAAACAGGAGAGGAAGCAAATAACCTGTATCAGAAATGAGATGAGTGATATCACAACAGACCCAACTGAAATTAATAGAACTATCCCATTAATTACCTTTTTTAAAGTCAGGTTTATTGAGGTTTAATTTATATACAGTAAAATTCACACTTTTTAAGTATACAGGTTTATGAGTTTTGATAAGCATGAACGGTCATATAAACACCACCACAACCAAGATGTAGAATATTTCAATCACTGCAAAGTTCCCTTGTGCCACTTTGTAGCCAACCCCATCCCTCCACTCCTACCCCTGGCAACCACTGATCTGATTTCTGTCCTTATAGCTTTGTCTTCTTCACAAGGTCATGTCAGTGGAATCATACAGTTATGTAGCCACTTGTGTCTGGCTCCTTTCACTTAATGCGTTTGAGATTCATCCATGTTGCCACAGATTATTACTTTTAATACTGAACCAATAATAAATATTTTTTTCTCTATGTGAATTCTAAGGGTACGCAGAGTTTTGAATAGCTAAAGAAACCATAGGACAGTGACAATGTTTCTCAAAGATTTGTCTGAGGACATCCTGCATCGGAATCACCTGGGGTGCGTGTCAGAATCTCAGATTCAGACTTTTGAGCCAAAGTGTCCGAGTTCCTCAATAATGTGTATTAACAAGCACTCCACATGACTTCTATGCATGATTAAAGTTGTAGACCATCAGGTGTTCCAGAATGAACAAAGATACCAGAATTAGGTAGTCGTGGCTTTAAATCTGGCTTTGCCACTTACTAGCTGTATACAGTTAGGCAAATCACTTACTTTTCTGCACCTATTTCTTTTTTTGTACTAGGAAATCGTTAATCTATTCACCAAATATTTATTGAGCACCTATTTTATGCCAGGCACCATTCGAGGGACAAGAATTGCAATGGTGAATAGACCATTCACTTCATTAGTCTACTCTGCTGTTTTGTTTCAATTTTCAACCATCTTAATTGCCCCTTTAAGAACTTCATATTTTGCTTTATGTAAAATTTTGCAAATGCTTTTATGGAGCACACATTCTGTCAGGGCAAGATAGATATAACTTCAGATCATCATAAATACTCTATAGAAAATTAAACAAGGTTTTTAACTAGAGGGTTCTTTAGTTAAGTACATTTATGGTTAATGCACTTTTCTGTATGCAAGTTATACTTCCAACACAAATGTTTAAAAAAAAAAAAGGCAAAGTAAGTATCCTCAATCACAGTGTGTCTAGCATTCAGTCACAAAGATTCTTCGCGGCTACGATGGTTAAGTGTTCAGCTGCTAACCAAAAGGTTGGTGCTTCCAACCCGCTCAGCAGTGCCGCAGAAGAAAGGCCTGGAGTGGAGATCTGTTTCTGAAAAGATTACAGCCAAGACAACCCTATGAGACAGTTCTACTCTGTTACATAGGGTGGCTATGCGTGGAAATGGACTGGACAGCACCCAACAATAAAAACTGGATCTTAGCAAGATCTGCTCAGTGTAAACTGTGTTTTCAGCATCACTAAAAATTCACCTCCAACCTTGATTCTTTTTTGGAAGCGGCAGGAAAAAATGTCGATGCCCACACGCAACTGCCGCTATGGAATTCTAGGCCAGTGGTTCCCGTGTGACCCATTAGCTGGTATTTTTCCTCGGGGTTTATTTTCATGCACTTCCAGGCGTAGCGCCCCCTCATCTCTTCTGTACCCGGTCACTGCCTTCGTGAGGGGCAGGAAACAGCCAAGCCTTTTTCTTGCATTTTTTAATCTCTAAAACCAGTTTTGAAAAATTAAACATACATGCCTCATGTTCTGTACATCAAGAACAGATAGTGAAAAGAAAAACTAATTATCAGGCAGCACGCCCTATGGTAATTTTCTTAACCTCTTTGGTGGCTGTGGCTCCTCTACCTAAAACAACGCACAAAGCAGCCACCTCTCCGCCTCATCTTCCTGGCCCGTCAGCAGCGTGTGCACGGCGGCGTGTACACAGTTGGGCACCCCCTCCACTCGGCTATGTCCTCCCGCCCGCCCCAAACGGCGCAAACTCCCTAAACTAAGACGCCGGCTCCGGGTCTGAGACTAAGACCGGGCGTGCAGAAGAGCGGAGGCGCCTGAGGGCTACAGGCTCTGCCCTCGGACGCGGGGGAGTCCGGAACACAGTTCGCGGACCCTGTTGTCCACCGGAAGGCGAAACGAGAGGAACGCGCCAGGCTAGGGAACGGAAGAGCGAGCGGGACGTGTTTGGCAGAGGACGCAGTATTCCCGTGGGGTTCTCAGTTTAATTGGTTTTTCGGCGATGTTTCCCCGGGCCTCGGCTTTCCTACCTCTTCGCCCCTTCTCCCGCCTTCCTTTGTCCTCTGGGAGCGCGGAGGTATCGGCGGCTGCGATTCTGCTGCTGGCTGCTCCACATGGAACGGTCAGGTAACGCACTTCAGCTCTGTTGACCGCGCAGTTCATCAGGCAAACCCGTGCCCTTGCCTCCCCATTGTGTCAACTTGTACTCCAGCTTCCCGGGGTTGACGTTATAACCCACGGGGTCTTAAGAGACCATCGCCTTAAATCTGAGGAAAGAGAAGTCTCAGAAAGATAAAGTGACTTGCCCAAGGTCATGGAGTGTGGTAGCCAGCTACCATGACATAGATGCCCGGTCGGCTGCCCTGTGCGCCTTCTACTACACGCCGCGCCTTTTGTCTCTTGCAGCTCTCAGAGTCTCTCCAGGCTTCAGAACTGAAGTTTAGTTTTACTGTTGTGCCTCTTCAGGCTTCTTTAATTGTCTTATTCTTGCCTCCTTTAATTTTCAGTTCACTGTTGAGAATGCAGTGTGGTAGTACTGGTGTTTAGCCCGGAACAAGGCAGCCGTGCCCTCACAGAGCTTATGGTTGTAGTTCAAGTACAAGTGCTGAGATGGGGCAGGTGAGCACAGAGTGCTCTTCATTCATTCAACAAGTAACTGCTGTGGAAGTCAACAGGGGCACTTACCGTTGGAGGAAAGGTTCAGGGAATCTTTTCTGGAAGAGAAATGTGATAAAACCTGAAGGGGGACCACAGGTTGGAGTTAGACAGGAAAGAAAAGAAGTTGCTGCATACTTGGTATTGGTATTCTTCATCCTCTGAGAAGTCTCATGATTATGAAAACTCACTTCTGCTGCATGTACAGTTTGGGGCCAGGTTGGCTAAGTACAGTCCTGAAGCGGGTAGGTAGCATTGGGGATGGGAAGGATCGACTGGATGGAGGAGAAAAATTGCACAGGAAGAATTGATAGTTTGTGATATTTGTTGACATAATGATAGAGTGGTCAGAACAAAGATTTCAACTGGTTGCCCTTGAGGATCAGGGTATCATTAATGGAAACAGAGAAGAAAAAGGAGCAGGTTTGAGAAAAAAAATTTAAATATGTCATAGTTCTTAAAATATAAATATCTGTTCATTGGACTGGTCCAAGGGGCTGGTCCAATACAGAAGGGTGGAAAATGGCAAGTCAGTCTGGGACGGGAGCTCTTGAACATGGTTTTGGATGTGTTGTGTTTGAAGTGCTGATGAGATGGTCTCAATGGAAGTGGGCTCAGTGGGAGGTTAAGTCTAGAATTTTATCTTATTATTGTCATGGAGTTAGTTCCTATACATGATTTGCCTGTGACATATAGATTACTTTTTGTAGTACCATATATAGCAGTCTTGGAAGGAAACAGTGAAGTAAATTCTATTGGGCATATGTGAGATTCATTCTCCCTTGTTATAATAAAACCTTTAATATTAGTGAATTTAACTTTCAGATGTAAAATAATTAGAGCCAGTTTCCTAAATTGAATGGTACCATATATTGAATGATATTATAACAAGGGTCCAGTGTACTCATTGTGAGAATACTGGTTATATAATTGGTTTTTTTCATTCCAATTTTTAAGTGCCTGATGTGATAGCCTCTAAGGAGATTATCATAAGGAGATCATAAGGAGATCAAATACTTGCTTGTTTCAGGGCTTTTGATAATTGCCATTTTCTCTTTCATTACAGGCCTGGGCCTCTAGCCTGGTGCTGCCATTTGCTAGCTCTGAGAATTTGATGTAGTGTTTAGACCAGGGTCTCATGCAGAGTCTTGAGATACATACCTCAGGATCACATGGGGTCTTGGTTAAAATGGAGATCCCCATACCCCATTCCAAATTTACCAACTAGAGATCTATGGTTTTAATAAGATCCCTTTATAATCTTTAAAAGTTCAGAACCGCTGACTTAACTCTTGACTAGCGATTTTTTTTCCTTCTGTAAAATGGGAATAATAAAAACCTGTTGTGTAAGATTGAAGAATTGATGCCTTTGAATTGTGGTGTTGGTTAAGAGTGTTGAATATACTGTAGACTGCCAGAAGAATGAACATGCCTGTCTTGGAAGAAGCGCAGCCAGAATGCTTCTTAGAAGCGAGGATGGCAAGACTTCATCTCACATACTTGGGACACATTATCAGGAGGAATCAGTCCCTGGAGAAGGACATCATGCTTGGTAAAGTAGAGGGTCATCAAAAAAGAAGAAGACCCTCAACGAGATGGGTTGATACGGTGGCTGCAATAAGTGGGCTCAAACATAGCAACAATTGTGAGGATGACTCAGGACCAAGCAGTGTGTCATTCTGTTGTACATAGGGTTGCTGTGAGTCAGAACTGACTAGACGGCACCTAACAACAAAGATTGTAAGGGTTAAGTAACATCCACAACATATCTACTCAAGTGTGGTCCTCTGAGAGCAACATCAGCATCACCTTGGAACTTGTTAGAAATGCAAATTCTTGAGTCCCACCCCAAACCTACTGAATCAGAATACCTTGGCAGGGCCAAGACAATTGTTTTAACAAGTCTGCTAGGTAATTCCTATGCACATTGAAGTTTGAGGAGCAGTGCTCTAGCCTTAGGTCTATAAAGGTTAAAAAAAAAAAAAAAAAAAAAAAAAACCATTGCCCTCAAGTCGATTCCCAATAGCAACACTATAGGACAGAGTGGAACTGCCCTGTGGGATTTCCTAGGCTGAAATCTTTACGGGGAGCAGACTGCCACATCTTTCTCCCGAGGGGCAGCTGCTGGGTTCAAACCACTGAACAGCTGAATGCTTAACCACTCTGACACCAGGGTTCCCCTCCATAAAGGTAGGGACCATGAAATTCTTGTATATATTCTTAGTGCCTAGTATAGTGCCCAGCATAGGGTATATATTCACTATGATGCATGAATGACTTTTTGTAAATTGTACCCTTATTGAAACTAACATATGCAGTAGTTTTTAAAGTCCCATATGTTTGGGTTTCAGTATCAAATACCAAAAGAAGATTTTAACCCTCACAAAATAACATTTCTATAAAATGTATTCTTTTTTTTCCCCATAAACTCCCATGGCCATTGACCACTTAACTTTTCTTTCGTTCTCCTTTCTGTTATAATAAAACCTTTAGTTTTAGTGAATTTAACTTTCAGATATAAAATAATAATTAGAGCATTTTCTTCATACTATCTTTTATACTTTATACTATTGCTTTTGTATCCCAGGATACGGGGTCAGGCAAGTCTGTGTGGCTAGAACTACACTGATGTGTATACTTGGCATACTGCAGTTAAAGATGTTCAGGTATTTGAGTTACTTAGCATTAAGAATTCTTTTTTATGGGTCTGAAATAGATTCATTTGTATTGCTCTTTCTCATAAGTGTATCTAACTAAGAGAGCAGAATGATAACTCTAGCCACAGAATTTTTTTTTTCTATTCCATTTTAGCTTGGCTTATAAATGGTGATTGGTTAAATGGCATATTCTAGCTCAATGAGAAAGTTGATCAGATTAGAGTAATACCCAGGAGATTTTTTTTAAGACCTTTTTTATTGAAAGAAATTTCTTTATTTTCACATTTAAATATGACTGTAAAATGTATTACTATATCCTGTTAAGAGCAAAGACTTGGGAATCAGCCATATTTGGGTAGGAGGATAAGAAATTGTCATTTATGAACCATGTTAATGTTTATCAACTGTTTTCTATCATGGAACACATTGAAAATGATATTTGTACAGAATCCTGGGATAAATGGAAGGAGGCACTAGCAGCTCCAGGCTCTACCCTCCCACTGAGGACCGATAAAAACCAAACCCTTTGCGTCCAGTTGATTCCGACACATAGTAACCCTACAGGACAGAGTAGAACTGCCCCATAGGGTTTCCTAGGAGAGGCTGGTGGATTCGAACTGCTGACCGTTTGGTTAGCAGCTGTAGCTCTTAACCGCTATGCCACCAGGGCTCCACTATAAGGATCAAGTGGATCAAAATCTTAGCACACTGTCACCCACTTATGGCACACCATTGTGTTTTGGCCCTTAGTGAGCTCTGAGCTTTGTGACCGTGAGCAAGTTCCAGTTTCTTTATCTGTAAAATGGGATTAATACCTACCTCATGAAATTGATGTGGGTGTGAGATAAATGTACATAAGTGTACATTACACAAGGTTCAACACGTAGTATATGCACAATAAATAGTAAATTGTTAGGATTAACCGTAATAATAAAAAGAAAACGCTGGTGAGGATGCAAAATGGTACAACTATTGTGAAAAACAGTGTGGCTGTTCCACAAAAAACTAAAAATAGAACTGCCATATGACCCAGCAGTTCCACTCCTAGGTATATATCCAAAAGACTTGAAAGCAGAGCCTCAAACAAACTTGTACACCGATATTTATTGCAGCACTATTCACAGTAACCAAAAGGTGGAAACAACCTAATTGCCCATCAGCAGTTGAATGAATAAACAAAATATGGTACATACATAGACAATTGAATACTCATCTGCCAGTAGGAGAAATGAAGTCTTGATACTTGCTACAATATGAATGGAACTGGAAGACATTATTCTGAGTGAAATAAGTCAATCACAAAGGGACAAATATTATATGACCTTACTTATGTAAGAAGATGAGAAAAGACAAATGTATAGAGAACAAAGTTTATTAGTGGTTACCAGGGGTGGGAGGAAGGGGAAAAAAAGGGTGGGAGGTTAACAGTGATGAAAATATTGTGTTGATTAAGGGTGGAATTGCACAGCAGATTATAGTAATTGCTGTCAATAAATTGTACACCTGTAGAAGGGTAAGACAGTACAAAATACTGGGGAAGCCAGCACAACTTGTTCAAGGAAAGGTCGTGTAAGCTCCATAGACACATCCAAACTCCCTGAGGGACCGAATTGTTGGGCGGAGGGCTCTGGGGACCATGGTCTTGGGGAACATCTAGCTCAATGGGCATAACACAGTTTATAAAGAAAATGTTCTACATTCTACCTTGATGAGTAGCAAGCAAGGGAGAATGAAGAAAACAAGATACAAGGGAAAGATTAGTCCAAAGAACTAATGGACCACAACTACCACGGCCTCCACCAGACTGAGTCCAGTACAACTAGATGATGCCTGGCTACCACCACTGACTGCTCTGACAGGGATCACAACAGAGGGTCTCAGACAGAGCTGGAGAAAAATGTAGAACAAAATTCTAACTCACAAAAAACGACTGGACTTACTGGCCTGACAGAGACTGGGGAAACCTTGAGAGTATGGCCCCTGGACACCCTTTTAGCTCAGTAATGAAGTCACTCCCGAGGTTCACTGTTCAGCCAAAGATTAGACGGCCCCATAAAACAAAACGAGACTAATGAGGCACAACAGTCCAGGGGCAAGGACTAGAAGGCAGGAGGGGACAGGAAAGCTGGTAATAGGGAACCCAAGGTTGAGAAGGGACAGTGTTGACATGTCATAGGGTTAACCATTGTCATAAAACAATATGTGTACTAACTTTAATGAGAAACTATTTGTTCTGTAAACCTTCACCTAAGTACAATTAAAAAGTTGTACACATGTAAAAAGTCGAATTGGCAAAGGTTGTGTGATATAACAGCAACAACAAAAAAAGTAGCTGCTGAGGCTGCTTACATACAACCAAAAACCTCATGGGATTTGGCTTCTTACTTTGGAGGTTTAGGATCATTTTTTCAGGGGACATTCCAGTTAATTGGCCTAATAACATGTTTAGTGCCTCTGTTCTACCTCCTAGTTTGATGTGTAGTTCCTGGGGTCTTAAAAGCTTGCAAGTGGCCATCCAAGACACAACGATTGAGCTCTGTTCACCTGGAGCAACAGAGGAAGAACAAGAGTCAGGAATAGGAGGAGAATATGGAATGTGTAGCTAAGTGCCTCTATGAACAACTGCTGCCTCCTTTGCCATGAGACCAGAAGAACTGGGTGGTGCCTGGCTACCATTTCTGAACATTTTGATCAGAGATTCCATAGAAGAATTCTTATCAAAAGGGGGGAATTGTAGAACAGAATTTCAGATTTGCATGTACTCCAGACTTCCTGGAGCCATTAAGGTTGAATGAACTCCTGAAACTATTGCCCTGGGATAATCTTTAAACCTTAAACCAAAAATATCACCTGAAGTCTTCTTAAAAACCAAACAGTAGTTTAGCTTAGCTAATAAAAAATGTCTGCCTTGAACGTTGTGCTCTTTTAAGAACTATATGGGATCACATTGACAACAGCAACTTGAACGATTAGATAGAAACCTTAGGGGGCAGTGAGTTTATGTAATGAATGAGGAACAACCCAGAAAAGGAGAGTGAGAATGGTTGCAAAACTTGAAGAATATAATCATTGTCACTAAATGGTAGAAACTGTTTTTAAAAAAAAAAGGCAAATGAAAAGAGCTTGAATTGAAAATTTTTTCAAAACAAAGTTTTTGAGTTATTGCTTTATTATTTTGTATTGTATTTTTCATTTTTTTTCTTTCATGTTTCTTTCCTAGGACAAAAAATAATATCCAAAGATATTTTGGCACTCACAGCGTGATCTATAACAAGAAAGATGAGCAGTCTATTCCAACTCATGAGATCTCTGAGGAAACTTCCAAGAGCCAAGACAGTGTAAAGGAGAACACGAAAAAAGACTTGTTAAATATTATTAAGGGTATGAAAATTGAATTAAGCACAGTAAATGTACAAACAACCAAGCCACCCAACAGGAGAGCACTTAAAAATTTGGAGGCTACAATTGGCAGGCTTCAAAAAGCTACAGAAAATACCACAAAGAAGAGGTACATTGAATTGAAACTTGAATTTTTTTTTTGTTGAAATAATTTTTGAAACTCCAGTAAGCTTTCGCTTCTAGAAATTGTATTTTTATTTTAATTAGAGTACATGGGAGATATTTAATTAATGAAGAATAAATATCATTTTGTAATCTTGGGGGCTGTAATAAATATTTGAGGAAGGGAATAGTGATCTTATTGAGAATTTCACACATCGTACATATTCATCAGTGTTGCTAACTGCCATTTAATTGCCACTGTAAGCTGTTAATTAACAAATGTCTTTTACAACCTGATTGAAGGTAGCTTTGTGTCTGTGACAAACTTATTTGAATCTTCTATTTTAAAAATTCCTTCTTAAAAGGAAATTTAGCATGTTGGTTACAATTTGATGATCACGCCTTTGACCAGTGATTATCAGTGCTCTCAGCTTTCTTACATGGTTCCCTCAGAGTATGGTAATACATGTGCTCGTTAAGAGAGTATTATATTTTATTGACTCTGAGTACAGGTAGTCCCTGACTTACGACAAGGCTCTGTTCCAACACCTTTGTTGTTAGTTGGTTCTGACGTTTCGTTTAGTTTTCGTTATTATTGCCTTTTATTATCAGTATCTTTATAAATCTGATCTTTATTTGTCTTTGAGGGTTGGAAACATTACACATTAACTTACAGATATATTTTAATACATACATAAAAAAATACACAAATCATAAAAATTTACTCCAGTGATGAAATTGAAACTAATGCTTCTGATAGTATGAAACACTGAATAAGATCCCACTAAAGTCCTGGTCTGCAGTGAAGTCTGCATCAGTGTTGTAACAGTGAAGTTGGAGTCCTAACAGCTTTTGGGTGTATGCACAGTTCAATTGGCGTATGTTGTTAGAGTTGAACGTTGCTCAACTTTCTATCCATTATGACTCCCAACACTGACACCAACTTCATTGTAGACCAGGCCATAGACTGCTAGGTGGCAGTGTTGTGAACAGTAAATCATAACATTGAACATCTGTCAGTGAACATCTGAGAATGATAACATCAGCAAATTACATGCTGCAACATTATATTTAGAACATATTACTAATGATGAGATGTACAAAAAATACAGACAGTCATTAAGTGTGGTTCATTGTAACTCAAATACGTCATAAGTCAGAAACTACCTGTACAATCAGTGGTACCTTAGCATTGTGTCTTAGTTTAAACGGCAGAATTTTGTTTTAGTGATACATAAAATAATGGTGTGTCTTACATCAGTGACATCCTCAATTCAAGTGACAAAGTATGTGGCTTTAGGACACCCACCACTGACTTATATTAGCAGAAAAAAAGTATCTTAGATCCTTGCTTCCCAGAATGACTTAACATTTTTATGACGCTTCTTGGTTTCTCCATAGTATCACACTGTATCAGAAGTGTCTCTGGAAAGTATAATTGGGTGGTAGAGAGCAAGCTGTCCTTCAGTGGCGCAAATGGTTAGGTGCTTGGTTGCTAACCAAAAGGTTGGCAGTTCTAATCCACCCTGAGACACCTGGAAGAAAGATCTGGCAGCCTACTTCTGAAAGATCACAGCCATTGAAAACCCTATGGAGTGCAGTTCTACTCTGACACACATGGGATTGCCATGATTTGGATAGACTCGAAGGCAGCTAGTTTTGTTTTTGTTTGTGTTTTAGAAACAAAAACCAAATAACCATATATAAATATATAATGTGCATGCACATATATATAAAGGCAAAAGTAATTCTTATTTTTGGGGGAAAAATTTTAAAAACCATAAAGAAAAAATCATAATTCCATCTTTCTGAAATAACTTCTGTTTACATTTTAATGTTGTAATTTTTTTCTGTGCTTGTACACATTCATAAATATTTGCAAAAATGAGATAATCTATTTTGTAGCCTTCTTTTTCCCTGTAGCAATTTGTTGTGACCCTTTTCCTAGGCTAGTAAATATTTTTTACACCATAATACATGCATCGTCTATTCCATGGATGCTGTCTTAGTCATCTAGTGCTGCTGTAACAGAGATAACCACAAGTGGATGGCTTTAACAAAGAGAAGTTTATTCTCTCACAGTCCAGTAGGCTGCAAGTCCAAATTCAGGACAGGCTTTGTCTCTCTGTTGGCTCTGGAGGAACGTCCTTGTGATGTCAGGCTTCCCTTGGTCTGGGAGCATCTCAGCGCAGGAACCTCAGGTCCAAAGGACGTGCTCTGCTCCCAGCACTGCTTCCTTGGTGGTGTGAGGTTCCCATGTGTCTTTGCTCACTTCTCTCTTTTATATCTCAAAAGAGATGGGCTTACGACACTATCCAGTCTTGTAGACCCCATCAGTATAACCTCATCATAGTGATAGAGTTTACAACACATAAGAAAATCACATATAACCTCGTCATAGTGACAGAGTTTACAACACATAAGGAAATCACATCAGATTACAAAATGGAACACAATCATACAATACTGGGAATGATGACCCACACATTTTTGGGGGGACATAATTCAATCCATGACAGATGCATAGTACAAGCTCTTTTAATCCACTGCCTCTTTTAAGCCACTGACTTGCCAGAGCAAATGATCCCCATCCTTCTACTGACCACGAACTACTGGTAGGGAGCTCTGTAGTACTCTTACATACTTCTAAATCTGAGTTGTATCCGTGTCAAAAATGGGCATCTTCATGCCGTGATAGCTGGTTTCCAAAGACAAACATCCCGAGAGAGATCTGGGTTAATGCTGTATCACATTATCTACTCAGCCTCACAAGTCATAGCATCACTTCTGCCTCATTCTGTTGGTTGAGGGAGTCACAAAGGCTTCCCTGATTTCAAGGAGAGGGGCAGTAGACTCCCTTTCTTGAGGGTGTGGCAAGTGGGACCAGGAATATTGCTGTGCCTGTTTTCTGAACATGTAATCTGCCACACCTGATCACCCGATAACTAGAATGTTAACTACATTAAAGGCATTATTGTCATGATACAATTGACTCTTGACTGATAGATTGCATCTGGACTGGGAGAACTCCAAAGATTTGACTGTATTTAGGTCGTCCTTGAGAGGCATTACAGAGCCCTGGTGGTGCGGTGGTTAAGCGTTTAGCTGCTAACCAAAAGGTCGGGGGTTCGAATCCACCAGCCACTTCTTGGAAACCCTGTGGGGCAGTTCTGCTCTGTCCTGTAGGGTCACTATGGGTCGGAATCGACTCGAGGGCAACGGGGTTTGAGAGGAGTTACTCTTATATCTGCATATCCCTTGCAAGGACCCTGGAAACTCCCTGTGACCTTGCAACAAGAGATACTGGCTCCTGTGGGGCACTAAACCAGGCAGCTCCCACACCTGCCTCGTGTGGATCTCCTTTCCTGACTCTTGGATGGCTGTGTGTGCTGTCACCTGTGTGAATGCCACCCTGCCAGCCTGCTGTGTTTCTGTCCTTTATCTTTCAGAACAGACTGGGGCCAGTCATGTCTGTGGCGGTCTTGTGAGTCTGAATGTTTAGTGGATCCTAACACCTGATTGGTGCCGCTGTAACCAAAATTTCTAGATTCTGCTTTAACTGATTTTCTGTTAACCGAGCAACTACCAGTTGTTACCCTCCAGTAAGAAGGCTTCCAACTATTATTTGTTTAACTAATCCCCTGCATGAAAGTTAGATTATTTCGTTCTTCACTAGCATAAAATGATGCTATGATTAACATCATTCAAGCATTCAGCACCTTCCAGTTGCCGTTATGTCTCAGGCCCTGTCCTAAGTGCAGAGATAGAGCACTGAATGAGAGTTCCTGCTCCCTACATTATAGTGGGGGAGGATATGCACTCACACCATAAACACACACACATAAACACACACACGTACACGCCAAATGGTGAAAAATAAGAGTGATGAGGCTGGAGAGGTTATTTTTAAAAGAGTGACCAGGGAAGGGCTCTGATAAGGTAAAATCTGAGCAAAGGCATGAAATAAAGTTTAAGATAAAGCCATGCAGATACCTGAGGGTTGGTTTGCCTTCTAGGCATAGGGGGTGGAACTGCTTAGGCCTTGAGTTGGGAGAATACAGCACCTCTCAAATTCCACATACCTGATGATCTTCTTTTAGGAGGAGAATTGCTAGGTCAAAGCATACGCATGTTTAGACTTTTGATAAATATCACCAAATAACCTGCAAAAAGTCATACCAATTTACATGTCCACTTAATAGTATATCTTCCGCCTCATTAGGGTTTCGTTTCTGAAATCGTGCATGTCTCATACAGCTCATTTTAAAGATACTCAGAAAGTACAGAAGGGTATAAAATCAAAAAGTATGCACTCGTGAAATAACCTTTATGAATTATAGAATAGAATAATAGATTGTTAAAAGATATTTTAACAAGTTCCCATCACCTTGTTAACTAATTAGCACATTTCAAATTACAAAGCCAGAGGCAGTGACTATAAAGGAAACTAGTGATACAAACACATGATTCTAGAGAACGAATACTCATCTCTTCTTTGCATACTCTCATCGAATACATGTACTGACATTTGAAAATAAAGTTCACAAGGAGTTTCTGAAAGAAATATAGTGATTTGGGGATAAGGTTTAAGCTTTAGTCACAAATAAAAGTTTTAAAAGCCGTACTCTTCTTTTTAAGCTTACTGTTACGTTTTCTCTTCATTCTCATCGGGAATCTGAGAACTTTACTTGCACATTAGATAACAGATTATGATAAGAAAGCCAGGTCCAGTGAAACACTAATTTGCATCTCATTCATTGCAATGGCAAGTCTCAGTGTATTGAAAAATGTTGTAGATAATTTATTTTTATGTCTGACATATCTTTCTCTTAATTTACCCTAATTTACTTAAGAGTAGCCTTTTTTTTTTTAGTTTTTTATTATGGAGAATATCAAGCATATACAAAGTAAATAAAATAGTATGATGAACCCCTTTGAACTTGTCATCTGCCTTGAGCAGTTATCAATATTTTGCCACTCTTGTATTATCTATAGCTCCACCCACTCTTCATCTCCTACTTATTGATGATAATGATTTGTGGTTCTTTTTTTAAGGGAAATTTGCTTGTTGAAATGTGCAACTCTTAGCTATACAATTTTTGCAAATGGAAATGCCCATGTAACCCACACACTTATCAAGATGCAGAACATTTCCCATTTTCATCTCCCCAGTCAGCAGCCCTGTGTCCTGAGGCAACCACTGTTCAGATTTTCACCTCAGATTAGTTTTGCCTGCTCTAAGATTTGATGTAAATGGAGTCATACAGTACATACTCTTTGGTGTCTAGCTTCTTTCCTTCTCTCTGATGTCTGTGAGATTCATTCATGTTGTTGGTGAGAGCTGAGTACTATTCCATCATATGGATGGATCACAATTTTTATATCCATTCTGTGTATGATAGACGTTTGGGTTGTTGCCAGTTTTTGACAATTTTGAATAAAGCTGCTGAAAAGAGGTTTAACAATTTTTATATTTGCTCGCGATATATATAGTTTTTGAAATAAAATGGCATCTCATTAAAAATTCCACTAATTTAGAATTTTTGATGTTGATACCTCACCCCTCCACCTTAATATATTGTTCTGAGTTGGTATTGTGCATCTGCAAGTATCCACTAACTTTGTTGTTACTGTTGTTAGGTGCTGGCGAGTCGATATTAACTCATAGTGACCCCTTGTGACAGAGTAGAACTGCCCCATAGGGCTTTGTAGGCTGTAACCTTTGCCAGAGAAGATTGCCAGGACTTTCTCTCACAGAACCACTGGGTGGGATTGGACCACCAACCTGTTGGTTAGTAGGTGCGTGCTTAACTGTTACACCTCCAGGGTTCGTTTCCACTTTAACCTTTCAAAGTTGATATAAAACTAATACCTAATATTTGAGAATCAGATTTCTCAGAAATTGAATGATACTTTTATGAATATAAAAAATTGTTTCTCAAAAAATTATTTAACTTTTCACTAAGCTAATGGCATAATAAGTAGTGCTTCTCTTTTCTTTCTATTTATTTTTCATTGTTTTTTCAGAAATGAAAATTTGAGTCCTGAGTTAGTGGCAGCTGCATCCGCTGTTGCAGAGTCTCTCCCTTTTGACAAGCAGACAACCAAGTCTGAGCTGCTCAGGCAGCTCCGGCAGCACGAGGAAGACTCGCGGGCGCAGAAGGACGGAAAAAGACGGTGGAAAGTTAGGTTAGTTACCTCAGTAATGCTTATGACTTAAAATAGGCTATTTTCATCTGTCTGAGTACTGTATAATGTAAAATGAAAGTGATAATAAAATAAATGATAAGTAAAATAAACCTCAGAAATGGAATTTTAGCAATTTGATTTTTTTTTTTAAAAAACATCTAATATCTTAAGCAAGATTGTAGTTTTTAAAAGACCAATTGAATGGTTAAACTTCTTTTAGAAAGTTGTGCAATGTCGTGTCTCTGAAAAAGAAGTGGTCAATTCACTAATGTTCTCATAAATAAATAGATAGGTGGATAGACAAATAGAATGAGATTGTTTCTCTGAGATTAATTCTTTCAGTTAAATAGTTTGCTGATTGTATTCACACTGTGATAGTCTTCGGGCCTGTTAGCTTCTCTTTCCCCACTTAGTTTTATGTTTGAGCTGACATCTTTCCACCCAAAGGTTCCTCTCTCATACTTTATGCCAGGTTACACTGCTTGCTGCCGAAATGTAGAAAGTGGTGATTCTACTTTGCCTAGAGGTAATCTAAATCGGTAGCTCTCCAGGAAGGTGTGCACCAGATTTGTCTTGGGAAGTAAAAGAAAAATCTAAATGTCTGGACTGTCGGTCACATGACCCATCTTGTTTGTGTTTGCACAGAAAGGGCAATAGGTAAACATGGCTAAATTTGAAGTTAGGAAGTTTGGAGTTATTAAGTATTCAGGTTATTGAATTTGGTGATAGGTTACAGATGTTGATTGTACTTTCCTACCACCTTTGGATGTTTGGTCATTTCTCATAAGTGACGTTTTGAATTATGTTTTAAATGAATATTTCTGAACATCTTTAAAATATAGATGTAGGCATAAATATTAATGATCTGTGGTATGTGAATGTTAATTTGTGACAAATTTTTTATTTAAACATCATGTTTATGCTGCATTAGTGAATAAAAGTGAAAGAAGAATTAAATGATATGCATCTCCTGCTTAAGAAAGTATATTATTGTTGTATAGCTGGAATTTCTAATACACTTGACCTTTTTATTATTTCAGCGTCAGTAACATAATATCAGATATGAAAGTTGCCAAATCTGCTACAGCTAGAGTTAGTACAAGACCAGAACACCAGATTCAGTTTGACGAAGGGTCTGATAATTATTTTGAGCATCAGAGGAGCGCTGATCTTAGAAAAAGGTATTCAGGCTTTTCAGTCTATTTGATTTTGTTTATTTTTACATTAACTATAGATTTACTGTATTGCTTGTCCGTATTGGTTGCTGATTGGTGTCTGAGCATTGTGGATACGTTTGTATCTGTTTTCTTACTCTATATACCATTTCCTAGAGAGGGAAAAACGTTCAGGATGTAGTAGTCGGAATCCACTCAAGAGCAGCTAACAACAACAAACATTTTTCTGTACCATACATTTAAATGGGCCTGCTTCACATCTGCCCCAATGACTAAGGGTCTCTTGATTTAGAATACATGGAGCTAACTGAATTATGAGCAGATAAACATTTTGTAAGAAGCATCATTTTCATTGTGAACGTAAGTGCCTAATGATGTTTATTCGTTTACCTTTGATTTCTTTATGGTCCTCTTTCTTCATACATTGGAGAAGTGACCCATCATTCAACCAAAAGCCGGGGTCGGGGGGATATGATACCTTAAAGAGGTACATGATTTGTGACAGTTTGACTTTGGTTATTTGCAGTTCTTAAAGATGCTGAGCAGTGCCTTGCATGGTTATTTTATGATTGAAAGTTGTTCTGTATTTACAGAGTTTCCATTTTTTTCTCTCCTTCAAGCCTAGAAAGTGATAGTTGGAGAGGGGAAACCAAGTATTTAGCATGGTCTGACAAAGCCTACCTCATCTTTATAGCAGGGTGTGCTCACAGTTGGGAGTATTTTGTATATTCCATGGAGTTTGTTTTAAGTATAAAGTGTAATATCAAAAACTGACTCAGCCCCTTCCAGATGTTAAATTAATAATTTGTACAGGAAGATTGAAAAAGATGGTGAGCAGTTAACAACAGGTTACAGGACTTTGGAAGATTATATAAATTGTTAATTTAATGTGATTTAATATTTATGAAGAGTCCCTGGGTGGCATAGATAGCTAACCACTCAACTACTAGCTGAAAGGTTGGTGGTTCAAACCCACCCAGAGGTGCTTTGAAAGACAGGCCTGGTGACCTGCTTCTGAAAACCCTATGGAGCACAGTTCTGCCATGCATATATAGGGTCACCATGAGTCAGAATTGACTCTTCGGCAACTATCAATATCAACGACAGTGGTATCTATGACATATTGAATAAAAGTGAATATATGCTTGGAATTTAAGATTCCTCAAGAATATTTAACTGAATCAACCTTTTTTTGAAATGATTCCATGCAACTACATCAGAATGGTATATCATAGTTTGATTTTTTAATGATATTAGCTGTCATTAAAATTAAGGCAGCAAGGGAGAAGCAAAAAAAGCAGGAAAGGGGTTTCTTTGGATACAGTGACTGCTCAAAAGCTGACTAAAGTTCTCTAGAATAGGGGGAAGCAATGGTGAGATACCATGTTGTCTACCTGGGCTCTGTCTTGGGTGGGATTTGGGGGTGATTGGCAAAGACAAAAGACTGGTGACACAGTGGTTAAGCGCTCATCTATGAACCAAAAGGTCAGCGGTTCAAACCCACCTGCTGCTCTGTGGGAGAAAGATGTGGCAGTCTGCTTCTGTAAAGATTACAGCTTTGGAAACCCTTTGGGACAGTTCTACTCTATCCTGCAGGGTCACTATGAGTAGGAATTGACTCAACAGCAGTGGGTTTGGTTTGGCTGAGACAGCCCAGACCTGCATCGAGAGCCAAAATATACTCTGAGTTGATTCCTTCAGTTAGAGATTGAGCGGTGTGAGATGCCCAGCACTGGCTTTGGTGTCCCACTGGCCCGCACAGAATCCTGGCACTGCCAGCGAGTAGTTCTGTGACGGGCCAACTTTCAGAGCCTCCACCAAACTCACTTTCCCCATCTGTAAAATGCTGATGGTGAAGCCTAGCTTAAGTTGCTTTCTTGATGAAAACTGGGGGAAAAAAGTAAACTGTCTTACCTAGTAGGTGCTCAGCAAATGTTAGTTCCCTTCCCTTCCTATTTTAAAATTCCCTACTCTGCAGGGCAGTTCATCCTGTGAGCCCTGCCCTCTTCACTTCCAGTTACTGAATCCATCATCCTGCCTACCTGACACTCGTTTATGGAAGGCCAGGTAGGGGGAAGAATGCAAGGCCCAGAGGATAGTTCTGGAGCATGGATGCTTTTCTTTACAAATACTTGGGGTCCTGCTAGAGGAAAGGTTATATGATTTCAGATTACTTTATCTAATTTTAATAATGGTATTTGCATTTTTTCAGTTAGTTTCATTTAATACAAAAAAAAATTTGATCTAAAAAGGAAGAATTAAAAATTATTTTAAAAACTAACCCTCTGGTTTACATACTGGTTTTTAATCTGGCAGTAAATTTATTAAAATATGCGAATTGATGCATACAGTAGTTGATTACAGTATACAAGGAAAATTTACCTACTAACTCTCTGACATTAATTCCAATAGTTAATTAAAAACAGTTTTATAAATAAGGTTAGTAATTATTTTTAAATTACAGAATGATTGCTTTATAAATTGGAATGTTTTATCTGTATAATCTTTTGTAATTATAATTTGTAATTAAACATGCAGTGTTTTCTGCCCTTAAACTAAGATAAATGTTTAACAATGTCTAATTTAGCATATTTTGATAGCTTTCTACAAGATTGAGTTTTCTAAAACCTTAATTTGAAATAGATTAGATAAAAATTGTGGCAAATTAAGCCAATCTTTTCAATTAGGTAATATGGAAATCAAACTGCTTTAACTGGTTTGTTGTATTATGAAGCAAAAATTCAAATGCGTATGTTCCTATTTTAGTTATCAGTTTTAAAGATGTGGCAGTTTAGTTAAAATGTCTGGTGTAGGTCTAGTTAAAATGTCTGGTGTAGGTCATTGGAATTAATTTTAACTTCTGCTTTGAATATTTCATGTAAAATTGTTTTCTCAAACAATTTTTAGTTGACAGTGTACAAAATTGTTCATTAAAATATATTCTTTTTTTTTTTTTGTTTTTAGTCTTAGGAAAAACATATTCAAGGGGAAGAGACTTAATATTTTTGATATTAAGGCTGCTGAAGAGGTGCCTGAAACAGGTTTGTTAAGAATAATGATATTTTTCAAGGGTAGAAATGTTCTACCTTTCAAAGACGTCCTGGTGATCCGATTGCATAATAGTTGGGTATTTTAATATTCTGTCCTGTCATTGGCCTGGATCCTGCTTATGAATGTAGTCTTTCACACTGCCAGTCTTGGTTAGACTTCCGCCTTGAAATGTTGCATTCCCTGAGACAATGGCAGGTAAGTACTACTAGCTACATGAATCCAGAGCTGTAGAGTAGTTACTAATTTGGTTAGAATATTAATAATTACTTATCATTTGCAGTGCCCCCTGTGTGGTTATACAAAGATAAATAAGCTGCTGTTCTTGCCCTCAGGCAGCTTACAGTCTAGAAGAACCAGCCGCTATTGACTCATAGTGAGTAGAACTGCAGTGTTTGCAAGGCTATAAATCTTTAGGGAAGAATACTGCCACATCTTTTTTGACCTGCCGACTATTTGGTTAGCAGCCAAGTACTTTAAAGCAGCCAAGCACTTTAACTACTACACCACCAGGGCTCCTTGTCTAGAAGAGGAGATCACATATATCGAAGTAACTTAAAACCGAAACCAGTTGCCTTCAAGTCAGTTCTGACTCAGGGCAACACCATGTGTGCAGAGTAGAACTGCACTCCAAAGGGTTTGCAAATCTGTGACCTTTTGGAAGCAGATTGCTAGGCCTTTCTTCAGAGGTGCCTCTGGGTGGGTTTGAACCGCCAGCCTTTTGGTTACTAGTCAGACGCATACCGTTTGTACCTCTGGGACTCCGTAGAAGTAACTTTACTGGACGTGACTTAGTGATTGTTCAGGAGATGGGAGGAAAAATATGAGGGATATATTTGGCTGACTTGTGTTCTGTTATTAATATATGGTTATTCTTTGTTCTTTATCCTTCCCTTTTTCTTTGGGTAAGAAGTCGCATCTGTCAAATTCAGTTTTAAGTCTAATTAGAAGAAATAAGAGTGTCCTCTTCCTTGACATTAAATTTTACTGATAAAATAAATGAAGGAACTCAGTACAGATGGTCTCCAGCTTACGAGTGACTGGCATTCCTAAAAGTTAGCTTTTTGGATATTGGTAGAAATGGTGTTATATACGGTGCTTAGATTCCTAGGTCAGCCTCCAGTTGCTTATTTAATCCATTTAGTAGTTACTTGTATAAACGTTCTAGGACAGCGTACTTAATACCTACCAGTCAGTGTGTGGTCAGGCACGTTCGTGCACATAAAGGCTTATAGAAACAGAATCAAAGCAAAGAAGGTAGAACATGGCTTATGTAGGTGGACTGGGTAAAGGTGGGTACGGAGGTAGGCAGGAGAATAAATCATACATGATCTATACCTTTGATCCAGAAATTTCATTTCTAGGGATTTATTTTAAGGAAATAATCACAGATATCCACAAAAGTGTAACCATGAGGATTATTCGTCATTATAGAATTTAAAAGAGAAAACATGTAACAGAGAAAACAGTAATAGGGGATTAATTAATTATGATACATCTATATAATGGGATATTAATGCAGCCTTTTTTAAGTGAAAAAGGAAGTCACCAAACTGATTCTAATTTATTTTAAAAAGCAAAATCACATGGGAAAAAAAATTAGATCACAAAGGTTTGAAAAATAACTAACCAAAAATAAAATTTTAGGGGAAAGGGTGACTGAGGAATCGATATTGATATGACATGGATATGACTCATTTACTTTCTTTTTATAACTTTATTGAAGTATAATTTATGTGCAATAAACTGCATCCATTTAAAGTATACAATTTGATGAGTTTTGACATATATATACACCTGTGAAACTAATACCACAATCAAGATACTGATCATTTCTGTCACTTTCAAAAGTTTTCTTGTGCCCCTTTGCAATCCCTCCCTCCTTTACTCCATCTTCAGGCAGCCATTGATCTGCTTTCTGTCATTTTGCAAAAGATGAGTTTTCATCTTCTTGAATTTTACATAAATAAAATCACTCGGTATGTACTTGTGCCTAGCTTCTTTCACTAACCAAAATGACTTGAGATTTATCCATGCTGTTGCATTTATCAGATAAGTAGTTTATTACTGAGTTGTACATGATTACAGGTATTCCCCGACTTATGACATATTCGAGTTATGAGTTAATTCGAGTTAAAAATAAAACAATCGTCTGTTTTACTTTTATAAATCTTGTCTTTAGTAATATATATGTACTGCATACAATGTTGTAGCATGTAATTTGCTGATGTTATTCTCAGATGTTCAGTGTTATGATTTACTGTTCAAAACACTGATGTATAGCAGGTTATGGCAGTGATAATGAAAACTAAAAATAACAGAGGTTTTCACTTACGTCAGAATCGATTTACGATGTAAGTCGGGCACTACCTATATGGTTGTACCACATTTTGTAGCTGTTCACCTGTTGGTGGACATTTGTTTCCAGTTTTTGGCTATTACAAGTAAAGCTGCTATGAACTTTTGTATGTTTTGTATGTAAGTCTTTATGTGGACATGTTTTCTTTTCTCTTGTGTAAATACCTCAATGAAATGGCTGGGTTATATGATAGGTGTATGTTAACTTTTTTTCCAAAGTGGCTGTACTATTTTACACTCCCACCAGCAGTGATTGTATGACTCATTCTTGAAAGACATCTTAAATTTCAAAAGCAAATAAATGAATGAAGCATGTAACACGATGAAGCATGTACAGCATGATATTACCTTACTCACAGGGTTGGTTGTGAGGATTAAATGAAGTAGTGCATGAAAAGCATTTAGCACAGAATAAGTGCTCAGTACCTATTTGTCATATTGTCATTATTATTAGAATAACTCTGTTAACTTCTTTGGTCTTTAATAGTAGTCGTACATTAGCGACTCATCTTGACAGACTCTAAAGGTAATCAGGCTAGGATTTAAAGATCAAAGTCACAAGTTGTATAAAAAATACCTATGTTCATAAAAACATCCTTAAACAAAATATAAATTTCTTTTTTCCTTTCCAGTAGGAGTGGCAGTAAGACTTCAGAGGTTGATCACCTGGCATCGTAGGAAGACGAAAGTTAAGGCTTAGCAGTTGTTGTAGTTACAGTCTTTGTATGTAATTTTTGTTGTTGTTTTAGCCCTCAGTGAGTGACCTTTCATTATTTAGATACTGTTTAATTATGAGTGTCAAGGTCTGAAAGTATACTATCAATTCAGACATGACTATATTTTTAAAAAGAAAGATATTTACATTGACTTGTGCTTATTTGAAATGTTTTTATTGTACAGAAATATCACCTTCGATTTGGGATGTGGAATTTGCTAAGCAGTTAGCCACAGTAAGTCAACAGCCCTTTCAGAATGGTTTTGAAGAGATGATCCAGTGGACAAAAGAGGGGAAACTGTGGGAGTTCCCAGTTAACAATGAAGCAGGTAAGTCTTAACTTCAGAGGCTTTATAAGATTCACTGATTGAGATTATTCCTGGCAGATAATCAGTTTTAGAATCTAGATATTTACATGAATTTCAAAACTTTGTGTAAACATCTTTGTGATGTTCTAAAAAAAATCTGACAATGGTTTTAAAAAGAATATCAAAATTTAATTCTAGGTGTTTGATAAGGAAAATGAAGAAATAAAATTATATGGCAAGAATCCATCATGAATTTCTATGACATAAAGGTGTTGAAAACTGCGAATGATGTTAGTTTTCTAATTGCTGAGTAGAAGATTACTTGGTGAATTTTCTAATCTATTCTGGTATGGGGTTGTACTTTAATTTTGAAGAACATTACAACTTTTAGGCTTATCCTGGTGTCTTTTATTCATAAAACTATTGCATTAATGAGGTGCAAGGTACTTGTATAAGCTACTTGAAGGAAAAATGTTAGGAGATTTGGGGAGTTTTTGGAAACTTTTGGCTGCATAATCTAGATGCTTTGAAGTGGTGATAAAATATTTACTTTCTTGGTGATTTCCTAGAGATGTCACCTTTTCCTCAAAAACTGTGCTATTTATGCTATTTATTATTTATGACACCCGTGTTGTCATCAGCTAAACATTTTCATTGAATTTTTTTTTTATAATTTATTTTATCTTTGTTGTTGTTATTGAGAATATACACAGCAGAACATACAGCGTCTGCACGTACAGTTCAATAACTGATTACATTCTTGGAGTTGTACAGCCATTCTCACCCTCCTTTTCCAAGTTGTTCCTCCCTCATTAACATAAACTCACTGTCCCCTAAGGTTCCTGTCTGATCTTTTGAGTTGCTGTCAGTTTGATCCCATACAGATAGATCTTAAAAGAACACAGTGCTCAAGGCAGACATTCTTTACTAGTTAAGCTAAACTATTGTTTGCTTTTAAGAAGACTTCAGGGAATATGTTTGGTTTAAGGGTTAAAGATTATCTCAGGGCAGTAGTTGCAGGGTTTTATCCAGCCTCCATGGCTCCAGAAAGTCTAGAGTCCATGAGAATTTGAAATTCTGTTCTGCATTTTCTCCCTTTTGATCAGGATTCTTCTGTAGAATCTTTGAGCAAAATGTTGAGTAATGGTAGCTTGGCACCACCCAGTTCTGCTGTCATGGCACAGGGGGAAATTGTTCATGGAGGCAGTTAGCCACACGTTCCATTTCCTCCTGTTCCTGACTCTCCTTCTTCCTCTATTGCTCTGGGTAAATAAAGACCAGTTGTTTTACTTCACTGAATTTTGTAGGTATAGGGTCGCTGTGAGTCAGAATCGACTCGATGGCAACAGGTTTTAGGTTTTTTTATTTTCAATTAGAAAAGATCCATTAACTTTTATAGTAAGATTAGATAGAAATTGTAACCACTTAAATTGTTATTGTTGTTAGGTGCCGTCAAGTCGGTTCCAACTCATAGCAACCCTGTGTACAACAGAATGAAACACTGCCTGGTCCCACGCCATCCTTACAACTGTTATTATGCTTGAGCCCATTGTTACAACCACTGTGTCAGTCCATCTCATTGAGGGTCTTCCTCTTTTTCACTGACCCTCTACTTTACAAAGCATGATGTCCGTCATGTCCAAAGTATGTGAGACATAGTCTCGCCATCCTTGCTTCTAAGGAGCACTCTAGTTGTACTTCTTCCAAGACAGATTTGTTCATTCTTTTGGCAGTCCATGGTATATTCAGTATTCTTTGGCAACACCATAGTTCAAAGGCATCAAATCTTCTTTGGTCTTTCTTATTGTCATCCACCTTCCGCATGCGTATGAGGCGATTGAGGACACCATGGCTTGGGCCAGGTGCACCTTAGTTCTTAAAGTGACATCTTTGCTTTTTAACGCTTTAAAGAGGACTTTTGCAGCAGATTTGCCCAATGCAACGTGTCGTTTGATTTCTTGACTGCGACTTCCTTGGGTGTTGATTGTGGATCCAAGTAAAATGAAATCCTTGACAACGTCAGTCTTTTCTCCGTTTATCATGATGTTGCTTATTGGTCCAGTTGTGAGGATTTTTGTTTTATGTTGAGATGAAATCCATCCTGAAATCTGTAATTAGACTTAGGAATATGTACTCCATATTTAAACCTTTGTGGTGTTATGCTGTCAGTTTAATATTTTGATTTCAATGGAAACTTAAAAATCAAATATTTAGTCTTAGATTTTCTTAAAGTATTAATTTCTATAGGAAAGATTTTAGAGACTTACAAATCTTTTAGCAAATTCTTTAATATTTTGTATATTCGTATGATATATATAGTAATATAGCTTGCTGTGTTTCATTATTACCTAATGTGTATTTCTTAAAGTAGCATAGCTTCTGGATTCCTGAAGGTATCTGGGTACGGTAAAAAGGCCAAAGGCTTCTTAGTTGTGCAAACCTGAGTACGGTTTGCAGCTCTATAAGTTACTAGCCGTTTGCCTTTTAGAAAATGATTTAACCTCCTGGGCCTCGGTTTCCTCAGGTGTAAAATTAAAGATACATCATTGGGATAATGAGAATTAAATAAGATAAAGTTATTGAGTTGCTGAGTGCAGTTTTTGGTACATATGGTATTTTACGCAAATAATGCACGCCTTATGCATTTGTTGGCTGCAGCCTCCCCCCACGAAGAGTTTTCATAAATGCACTATGCTAATTTTTTTTTAACAACATCATGTGGAAGAGGATTGGCATGGCGGCGTTCGTGTGTGCGCCCATCACGGGGAGGGCATGGCCAGCAAACAAACACAGAAGGCGCATGCTATTTGTGTAAAAGTACAGCAATACATGTGAGTAAATGTTAGCTCCTGCCTCCTGTATGATCATAGAACTTTTTTTATTGTAAATATATATAACAAAACATTTGCCATTTCAACCATTTTTACTTGTACAGTAAATTATGTTACCATGTTGTACAGCCATATCAACACGATCTTTTTCCAAATATTTTTATCACTCTTAACAGAAACTCAGTGCCTCTTAAGCAGTAACTCCCCATTCCCTCCTCCCCCTAGTCCCTGATAACCGCCAATAAACTTTTGTTTTATGCATTTGCCTATTCTTCATATTTCATATAAGGGGGATAGGGGAGTCGTGCAATATTTGTCCCTCCGTATCTGACTTATTTCACTCAGCATAATGTTTTCAAGTTTCATCCATGTCATGTCATGTCTCAGAACTTCATGTCTCTTTAGGGCTGAGTAATATTCAATTGTATGGATATACCACACTTTGTTTATCCTTTCATCTGTTGATGAACATTGGGGTTGTTTCTACCTTTTGACTGTTGTAGATACTACTGCACTGAACATTGGTATACAAGTATCTGTTTGTGTTCCTGCTTTCAAGTCTTTGGGTTATATACCTAGGAATGGAATTGCTCAGTCATGTGGTAATTCTATGTTTAACTTTTTGAGGAACCACCAAACTGTTTTGAGGTACACTGAAGTGGTTGTACCATTTTACATGTCCACCAGAATTGGATCATATAATTTTAAAAGGAACAAAAAACTAGCAACATATAATGTGTGATATTCAGGGAAAATTTCACTTATTCTTAGAACATCTTTGGATTTCATTATTTGATGAAACTTGGGTGTTCCAAGTTTTCATGGTTTAAAATATTTTTAAAACTCAGTATTAAAGAGACAGTGAAGTGTAGTAGTGAGGAGTTCAAGCTTCTGAGTTATAGACTTACCTTCATCTATAAAATAGGAATAATAATGGGACCTATTTTATGGGGTTCTTGTGAGGAACAAGTGAGATTATGCAAGTAAAGCATCGTCATCACCCCTGCTTCTACAACCTGGTGAGGGGATTTCCTACCTTTATGCTTTATTTTCTGTTATATATTATAACATTTTTAAATCTTAAAATGTTATCAAGGATATTCTCTGGGAACCACCAATTTGGGTGATAGGAAAGCATGAATTGGTGGTACATTGTCCTATCAACACTGAAAAACTTAAATTCACCAAAATCGTGTCTAAATCCCAAAGGAATTTATCTTAAATTTGACCTGGTTTGTGAGAAAGTTTAATTTGTATAAAGGAGAGTAACATGTTTTTTGGTCAGGTAGGAGAGGTACATGTGACAAATGTCCATATAATTGTACATATTATTGATGCTTCAGGGTCAGAAGGAGAGGCCTCGCATTTTTAAGGCATTCATTATCTGAAGGAAAAACAGGAAAGGAACTGTGGGCACTTTCTTGCGTTGATCGCCCCCTCAGGACACACTTAGAAACTCCTGAATACTTTGAGAAACTGGAACCTCAATGGTTAGATAATTGTCTTTTCTATTTCTGATATTTAAATTTTAAGATTAAGAAAATGTCATGCTCTCCCTACTAGTAATTAACTTCATGAAGATTTACTTTGGTGCTTTTGGGAAAAGATGAAGGGTTTCTGGTTTTGTTTTGTTTCTAGTACAGGGCTCACCATATCAGTTTTGCAGCATAATGAAAATGACAAAGTGACATGTCCTGTGTTTATAGTTTCCTTCCCAGTGTTCTGTTTTTCCACTGTATAAAAAATTACAGTTTATTGTTTTACCTCTTAAAGTGTATAAATTATTTTTCTAATCCTGAGTAGCTTTCATAATGTTTATTATTTTTTAAACAAATCCATTAGTCCCCTCTCTTGTGCTTTGCCACCGTGGAGATTTATTTATAAAACTGTTAGGTGGAATTGTTCCCACTTATATTTTGTAGTATTTGCCTTATATTGGATTGATATTAAAATCATTTTTATTTTAACTTTGACTTTTATTAAAAAATAGAAAAAAAAATAGTCACGTATATTTGTTTTACTACTACCCAGTTAACAGTATTGTTCCTTAACCACATATATGACTCTAAATTGAGGGTGTTTTTGAAATGTTCTGCAAGAATAATTCTCACTTCAGAGGCTACAGTGGGCTAAAGAGCTCAGTCATGGATGTTAATCACATTTTGGTTTTTGTTCTTCAGTTGTTTTTTTTAAACTTTCTGTTTTCTAATGTTCTATCCTTCGCTAGGGTATAGGGAATATGTACTGTAACATGAGCTAACAAGACTACTTAGAAAAGTTCTAAGAAAAATTATTATAAAACCCTACAGAAGGCTCTGTTGTTATGTGGGAGTAATATGTACCAGAAGATTCTGTTAGGTAGGGAATCAGGGCATAGTGTGAAGAAAATTAAAAGTATAAAGTTTATTAGGTATGTGCCAACAGAAAAGTAGCAGAATCTGTAGGTTGTTTTAGATGATATTGTGACCTATAAACAAGAACCTTGAAGTACTGACAGAAGAAGTAATAGTTTTAAGAATAAACACAAGTAGAAATATAATTCAGAGTGAGAATGGCTGAGTTTGCTTTAGTGCTGTAATATTACCTTGTAAATAATAATTGGTCATTGGTATTAACTAGATTTTACCCTTCATTGATCATACCATGTTTTTAATTGTATTTAGTTACATTCGGTAGTATTTAGGGCAGAATTAGACACAGAATTAACTGTGCTACCTTAGTTGCTGATACATCCTTTCAGTCTTAGTATATGGATTTCCTTCTTGTATTTAATTTTCCACTGTCTCTTATTTTATCTTTATTGTATTCCTTTTGTTTAGTAAAAATAATATTTTAAATTCCATATATAATATAAAAATTTACTTGCAAAAAAGCCAAATAATATGAAGAATACTTTACCGCTCAGTTCATTTCCCTTTTTCTGAAATAATCATCGCTAATAGTTTGATACATGTCCTTTGAGTCCACTTTAGATGGTAATTACACGTTTATCTGTTGTTTTTTTGTTTCGACCTATATGGGACCGTACTGTACGTATACTGTCCTGCAGCTTTTTTTTTTTTTTTTTACTTAGAAGTGTGTCTTGAAAACATTTCCTTGTCATTCATAGGTATCTACCTTATTCATATTAATTAACCATTAACCCATTGCTGTCCAGTTGATTCTAACTCATAGCAACCCCATAGGACAGAGTAGAACTGCCCCACAGGGTTTCTGAGTAGCTGCTGGTGGACTCGAACTGCCGACCCTTTGGTTAGCAGCCCATCTCCTGACCAGTGTACCACTCTAATATTCCACAGTATGAATGGGTTGTAATTTATTTCACCATTTCCTGTTCATGGACGGAGCTGCAGTTACTCCTTCTTCACATGCCCATGTGTACACACTTGAATATTTCTGTAAGATAATTCCTAGAAAGGTCAAAGGATAGGTGAATTTTAAATGGCAGTAAATGTTGATTGATTCTGCTGTAAAAAGATAGCCAACTGACCCTCCAACCATGTGAGAAATCTGTTTCTCTACACTTTAACAAATTCTGGATAGTATTAGTCTTTCAAATGTTCTAGACAAAAAATATGATAACATTGTTTTATTTCTATTTCCCTGATTACCAAACAAATTGAGCATCTTCTCATATGTTTATTGACTATTTGTATTTTTTCTGTGATTTCTCTCTTCTTATCCTTTGACTTATTTTTCAGTTGGGTTGTTTATCTTATCAATTTGTAGGGATTGTTTTTAGTACTGGGCTCAGTATGGACTTTAATTCATCATTTGTTATATATGGTGGAAATATTGTCTCCCAATCTGTCTCTTTTCTTTCATTTTAAATTAATTTGATTTTTAAAATCATTAATAGCATGTAGTTTAACAAATCAAATACTACCACAGGCTTATGATATAAATCAATTTTTTTTCCCGCGTAGCAGGCCTGCTCTCACAGCTAGACTCTTTCAACCCTTTACTGCTATTATATTTTTTCATATTTCTGAATTTTATGCTTGTTATCCATTTCAGATATCATCTAGTGTGTGTGTCTTCCCATTATCTTCTCAATACAGATATATCACAAATTTTTGTTAGATCTGTATTCAGTGTTCACATTAATATGGCTGTGGGAGATGGTTCAATGCTGAGACAAAAAATGTACTATTGTTTCCTTTCCTGATTTCCTGCCCCCACCAAAAGTTAACCATTGCTTTCTTTTTTTTCCCATTTGCTGAGATTTTCTTTGAACCTTTTGCTAGGACTTCCTACATTCTATTATAGCTGCTCAGATTCACATGGTCAAAAGTGTTAGATAATTGTTGGTTTTTCTCCTGTGTATCTGGAGCCTTTTGCTTGGAGCTGTAGCTTCAGTCTGTACCTAGGTTTTCTGACACACCTGTCTCCCTGTGACTTCATTTTGCCATTATCCTATGATTTTCTTTTCTGTGTTGGATACTCTTATGTTTGGATCACATGCTTTCTTCTCTTTAATTACCTCCTCGTTTTGTTGGAGCACATACTCCAGTCCTGAGACAGAGTACCAAACCAAACCCGCTGACTGCTGTTGAGTCAATTCCTACTCATAGCAACCCTGTAGGTCAGAGTAGAACTGTCCCATGGCATTTCCAAGGCTGTAAATCTTTACAGAAGCAGACTGCCACATCTTTATTCCCTGGAGTGACTGGTAGGTTCGAATTGTCGACTTTTCTGTTAGCAGCCGAGCGCTTTAACTACTGTGCCACCAGGGATCATTAGAGTACAGGGAAATTTTTTTTTTTTTTTTTTAAATGGAGACCTTTTATATCTGAAAGCATCTTTCTTCTATCCTGGACTTACTTAATAGTTTAGCTGAATATAAAATTTGAAATTGGAAATAATTGTCTTTCAAATTTTGAAGCCATTGTTTGATTGTCTCACTGTGTTGAAACAGCTGTTAGCATTCTTCCAGTCATACCTCTATTTCATTTTCTTTGGAAATCCTTGATATCTTCTCTTTATATTTATAAATTTAAACTTATATTCATAAGTTTCAGGATGATGACTTGTGGTAAGGGCTTTTATTTTTGTAAAATTATTGTTCTAGGCATCACTGAGTCCTTCTAATGTGATAACTTTTTCAGTTCTGGAGAAATTTTATTTTATTATTTGGTAGTTTGGACCTTCCAATCTTTTATCATTCTATTGTTGTTGTATATTCTGGGAGCATTCCTCAACTTTGTATTACAGCCTTTTTCCCCTTTTTTTTTTTTTTTCTGCTTTCATACTTTTAACTTTATTTCCAAATGACAGTTTCACCAGATGTAGAATTCAGGGTTGACAATTGTTTTCTTTCAGCACTTGGAAAGCATTGTCTCACTTCTTTGTGGCCTCCATGGTTTTAGATGAGAAATCTGCTGTCATTTGAATCCATATTTCCCTCTAAGGAACGAATCGTTTCTCTGGGACTGATTTTAGATTTTTTTTTTCTTAGCCTTTGTTTTTAAGAAGCTTAATTATGATGGGTCTTGCCATTGATTTTTTTAAATTATTGTTAGTCTATTTAGGATTCTCTCAGCTTCTTGAATCTGTGGGTTTATGTCTTTCACCTGATTTGTGAAGTTTTCAGACATTATTTCTTTGAATACTTTTTCAGACTCACATTCTTTTTCCAGTGATAGAAATGTTACATCTTTTTTTAATTGACTCACAGGTCCCTGAAACTCTGTCCACCTCCCCCCCCCCTTTTCTATGATGGCTGCTCTAAAATCTTTCTCTGTTAATTCCAGTATCTGATTTATCTTGATGCTGGCATTTGTTGATTGTGTTTTCTCGTTTAAGTTGTGATTTTCCTGTGTCTTGTTATGATGAGTGATTTTGATTGTATCTTTGACATTTTGGATATTATGTTAGGTGACTCTTAATCATATTCATATCTTCTATTTTAGCAGACAGTCCCCCGTTTAGGTTGAGTATGTAGGTTCTAGTGGCCCCTTGGGGTTTGCCGATGTCCCACTGTGGGCAGTTTGGGCCTCCACCTTTCAGAGGATGTGGGTTGGGGAATGGGCCCACATGCCTGGGTTCTACTAGCAAACACTGCTAAGGCAGATCAGGCCCATCGCTGCAGTAAGTGTGAGGTGAGTAATGGGTTGGCCCTCCCAGGCTCTGTTGGTAGCACTGCTTCAGGCATAGCAGGCCTTCTGCTCCCACTGGGTGTGAGGCAAGGGGTGAGTTTATTTATTATTTCCAGGGCATTTAGTTGTATTTAGAGAGGAGGAGCAGGGAAAATGAGTCTCAGAACCAGAGTATTAACTGAAAGTGTTTTCATAATCTAATTGGCGATGTTTTTTCTTGCAACATATAAGTAATGACAAGTTTAAAATTGATGAGATTTAGATTAGATGCAATATAGTATTTGAAATTCTCCCTCAAAGCATAAACTCATTTAATTTCTTTTAATAAAACCAATACATATTTTAGGATGTACGTATTATAGAAAATTTGAGAAATGCAGGACAATTAAAAAGAAATCTGTATCCCACTAAACCCAAATCCACTGTCATCAAGTCGATTCTGACTCATAGCAACCCTATAGGACAGAGTAGAACTCCAAGGCTCTAATCTTCACAGAAGCAGACTGCTATATCTTTCTCCCACGGAGCGGCTGGTAAGTTCAAACCACTGGTCTTTCTGTTAGCAGCCAAGCACTTAACCACTGCACCACCAGGGCTCCTTGTAATCCCAGTACACTGTAATAAATTCTCCTTACCTCTTGGCATATTTCCTTCAATTTTATTTTTTTAATTACTAATTAGCAGTGTCTGCTACTACTTTTTAACATTCACAGTATGCCAGGCATTGTACAAGAGCTTCATATGCAATGTATCTAATTAATCGTTTAAAAACCCCATGAAGAAGGTGTTATTTTTATCCTCATTGTACTGCTGAGGAAGCTGATGCCCAGAGAAGTTTATTAATTTGCCCAACGTCACCAAGTTTTTAAATTGAGGGGTAAACCTAGGTCTAACTCTAAAGCCTTTAACTGTGATACAGTATTACCTCATTAATATTAATTTTATGATGCAGGTTTTTTACATTCAAAATTGTAATGTATTTCATCTCATTTTCTAGGTTTTGATGATGATGGTTCAGAATTTCATGAACATGTATTTCTGGATAACTACCTGGAGGATTTTCCAAAACAAGGACCAGTTCGCCACTTCATGGAGCTGGTGACCTGTGGCCTTTCCAAAAACCCATATTTGAGTGTTAAACAGAAAATTGAACACATAGAGTGGTTTAGAAATTATTTCAATGAAAAAAAGGACATTCTAAAAGAAAGTGACATACAATTCAGTTGAAGACAATGGAAATTTTTATTTCACGCTATTGGAGATAGCTATTGTCACTAAATAAAATAATTTTATAAGAATATTTCCTGTTTTTGTGTTAATACATGATGATTAATTATTGTATCTCGTTTGGATGGTATAATTATTACATTGTTTAAAATAGATGATGATGTTAACTGTGGGTTTTTTGTAGATTTTCTTTATCAAGTTGAGGAAGTTCTCTATTCCTAGTTTGCTGAGAATTTTTATTGTGAATGGGTGTTGAATTTTCTCAAATGCTTTTTCCATGTCTATTGATATGATCATGTGATTTTTCTTCTTTAGTGTGTTGGTATGAATTGCATTAATTTATTTTTTTCAAATGTTGAGCCAGCCTCGCATACCCGGGGTAAACCCCGCTATTCAATTCTTTTTATACAATGTTGCATTCAATTTTCTAACATTTTGTTGAGGATTTTTGCATCTATATTCATGAAAGATCTTGGTCTGTAATTTTTCTTCCTAGTAATGTCTTTGTCTTGTTTTGGCATTGGCCTTGTAGAATGAGGCGGGAAGTGTTCCATCCTCTTCTGTTTTTTGGAAGATTTTGAAATAGATTGTTGTTAATTCTTCTTTAAATGTGTGGTAGAATACACTAGTGACACCATCTGGGTCTGTTGCTTCTGTTTTGGAAAGTTATTATCTTTGATAGACATAGGCCTATTCAGGTTACCTATTTTTCCTTGTGTGAGTTTTGTTGGGTTGTGTCTTTCTAGGAATTACCCATTTCAGCCACATTATAAAATTTGTGGACATAGAGTTGTTCTTAGTATTCCTTTACTATCCTTTTAATGTTCATAGGCTCTATTGTGATTATACCTCTTTCATATTTAATATTAATAATTTGTGTCTTCTTTTTTCTTGGTTAGCCTGGCTACAGGTTATCAATTTTACTGATCTTTTCAAAGAACCAGCTTTTGGTTTCATTGATTTCTTTTTTTTCCCTGTTGATTACCTTTTTCAGTTTCATTTTTTTGTTGTTGTTGTTCTGATTTTTATTATTTCTTCTGCTTATTTTGAATTTAATTTGTTCTTTTTTGAGTTTCTTAAGATGGAAGCTTAGATTATTGATTTTAGTTCTCTCTTTTCAGATATATGCATGCAAAACTATAAATTTCTATCTAAGCACTGCTTTTGCTGCATCCCACACATTTTGTTAAGTTGTATTTTCGTTTTCATTTAGTTCAAAATATTTTTTAAAATTTCTCCTGAGATTTCTTTGACCCATGTATTATTTAGAAGTGTGTTATTTCATCTCCAAGTATTTTGAAATTTTCCAGCTATCTTTCTGTTATTGATTTCTAATTTAATAACATTGTGATCAAAGAACATACTTTTTATGATTTATATTTTTTTAAATTTGTTAAGTTGTGATTTATGGCCCAAGATGTGGTCTATCTTGGTGAATGTGCCATGTGAGCTTGAGAAGAATGTGTATTCTACTGTTGTTGAATGAAGTATTCTATAAATGTCAATTAGATCCTGTTAATTGATGGTGTTGTTCAGTTCAACTATATCCTTAATGATTTTCTGCCTGCTGGATCTGTAAATTACTGATAGAGGGTTTTTGAAATCTCCCACTAGAGTACTTTTCTGTTTCTCTCTTGTAGTTCTGTCGGTTTTTGCATCATGTGTTTTGATGCTCTGTTGTTAGGTACATAGACATTAAGGATTGTTATGTCTTCTTGGAGAATTTCATTTTGTAATTCCCCTCTTCATCCCTGGTATTTTCCTTGCTCTGAAATCTGCTTTGTCTGAAGTATAATATAGCTATTCCATCTTTCTTGTGATTAATGTTAGCATAGTATATCTTTATTTATCCCTTTATTTTTAATCTGTGTTAAATTTAAAGTGAGCTTCTTGTAGACAACATAAGTTGGGTCTTGTTTTTTTATCCACTCTGATAGTCTGTGTCTTTTAATTGGTATTAGACCATTCACATTTAAAGCGATCATTGCTACAGTTGAATCTACCATATTTGTTAATATCTAGTCATTGCTCCATTCCTTTTTTTTTTGTCTTCCCCACTTTTTTTGCCTTCTTTGGTTTATATTAGGCAATTGGCATGACTCCATTTTCTCTCCTCTTTTAGTATTTCAGTTATACTTTTAAAAAATGTTTTAGTGGTTGTCCTAGAGTTTGCAATATACATTTACAATTAATCTAAGTCCACTTTCAAACAACAGTATACCACTTCACGGTTCGTGCAGATAACGTATAACACAGTATTCCCAATTCCTCCCTCCTGTCCCTTTTAACATTGCTGCTATACGTTTTATTTATCTATAGCTGTAATCATCCAGTCCATTTTTGCTATTATTATTTTAAACAACGTTTATCTGTTAGATCAGTTAAGAATAAGAAAAATAAAAGAATATTTTAATTTCATTTATTCTTTCATGAGTGCTCGTCCTCTCTTTATATAGATCTGAGTTTCTGACCTATATCATTTTCCTTCCCTCTGAAGAACTTCTTTTAACATTCCTTGCAAAGCAGGTCTGGTGATGACAAATTCTCTCAATTTTTGTTTGTCTGAAAACGTATTTCTTCTTCACTTTTGAAGGATAATTTTTCTGGGTACAGAATTCTAGGTTGATGATTTTTTTCTTTAAATACTTTAAATACTTCATTCCATTCTTCTTGCTTCTGTGGTTTCTGAAGAGAAATCTGATGTAATTCTTAATCCTTGTTGCTTTATAGATAAGGTGTTTTTTCCTCTGGCTTTTATCAAGATTTTCTCTTAGTCTTTATTTTCTGTGGTTTGAATATGACATGCCTAGGTGTAGATTTTTTGGTATTTATCCTGCATAGTTTTCTCTGGGTGTCCTGGATCTGTGGTTTGGTGCCTGTCAACAATTTTGGAAAATTCTCAGCCATTGTTAAAATATTTCTTCTGTTCCTTTCTCTCTTTTTTATATTTCCATTATACATATGTTAATACGTTACACCTTTTGTAATTGTCCCACAGTGCTTGAATACTCTATTTTGGTTTTTTGTTTTGTTTGTTTTCCTCCCCAGTTTTTTTTTTTTTTTTTTTCCCTTTGCTTTTCAGCTTAGGGAGTTTACTGACATATATTCCAGCTCACTTGAATATAGGAATAAATCTAAGGAAATAGAATGAAAGATCTAAGGTAAAAGCAGAAATTAAAATAGTACAATATAGAGGATCATCAAAGTCAAGTATTGGTTCTTTAAAAGACTGATGGAATCTCCATCAAGATTTTATTTTTAGAAAGTGGAGAAATACACTCTTAGTAATAAGAAGGGGGACAACTACAGATGGTGCAGAGAAAAAGAAATTTTTTTCAAGAGGCTACTATGAGCAGCTTCATGCCAGAAAATTTGAAAACTTATGAAATGGACAAATTCTTCAAAATTATGCTATCAAAATAATTTTAAAAGAAAATCTGAATGGTTTAATAACCACTAAAAAGATTAGATCACAGGATTCTACTAAATGTTAAGGAAACAGATAATTCCAATCTTGTATTGAGTATTCCAGAGTATAGAAAAGGAAGTAATACTTTGCAGTTCAGTTCCAAGAGATTAGAATAACAGATATTCATCTCAATCATGAAAACACATTTGAAAAAACTAAAACAAAATAGCAAATTAAATCCATTAATGAATAAAAAGGAAAAGAAATTATTAAGTTCAGTTCATTCCAAGAATGCAAGAATGGTTTAAAATGGTAGGAGAAAAAATAACATAATCTCAAAGAATGCAGGAAAAATGTTCGATAAAATTCAACAGCCATTCATAATTCTTTAAAAAAAAAAAAAAAGCCTTAGAAAACTTGGAGTAGAAGGGAATTTCCTTAACCTGATAAATGACATTTACAGTATCTTATTCATGGTGAATCAGTAAACCGTTTCCTTTAAGATTATAAATATAACCAGTATAATCACAGTTTCTTTTCAGCATTGTACTGGGGCCTGCATAGTGTAGCAAGAAAACGTGTAAAAAACTATTAGGATTGGAAAGTCACCCAAAAGTTGTCCCCAGTAAATCATACCCTTGTGTAATACCCTCTCTAAGTGTAGGTGGAATTTGAGACTTGATTCTAGCAAATAAAATATGGCAAAGGTAGCCCCTCCCTTGGTTAGGTTACATTATATCAGAAAAGTGATGGGATAGTCAAGACTCCATTTTAGCAGACTGGAGTTATCCTCCTGGCCTTAAAGTAAGCTACCATGCTGTGGGAAGGCTTGAGAGGGCCACATGGCAGGAAATGGTGGGCTGCCACTAGGAGCTGAGAGCAACCCCTGACAGCCAGCCAGCAGGAAAACAGACTTCAGTTCCACAGCCTCAACAGTTCTGCCAATAATCATATGAGCCTGGAAGAGGACCTTGAGCTCTAGAAAGGAACACAGCCTGGCCAGCATCTTGATTGTAGCCTTGTGAGACCCTGAGTAGAGGATCCAGCTAACTGACCCATAGGAATAGTGTTTCAGGTCACTTAAGTTTATGGCAGTTTGTTATGCAGCAATAGATAATACAGAAAGTATGAAACAAATCTGTCATTATTAGAGACTATATGATTAAGTAGAAAGCAAAAGAGTCAATAAATAAATTAGAAGAATTAATAGAGCATTTAGCATATTTGCAGTTTGCAATTATATTTCTATACAACCGCAACAAACAGGTAAAATACCATTTATAGTAGCATCAAAAATTCTAAATAAAATCTTAATGAAAAGTATGCAAACCCTTTATGAAGAAAAACATTTTAAACTTTACATAGTAGTAAAAAATAATATTTAAGTGGATGAATAAGTTCATGGATAAGAGGACTCTTATTAAAGATGTTAATTCCAAATTTATAGATTTGATCTATTTCTATATAGGTCAATATGAGTTGGAATCGACAGCAACAGAGTTTTATATCTTCTTTTAATTTTATTGTGCTATAGGTGAAAGTTTACAGTGCACATTAGTTTCTCATTCCAAAATATATATGCACAAATTGTTCTATGACATTGGTTGCAATCCCTGCAATGTGTCAGCA